GGCCGGCAGTTCATGGGCTAGGCAGGGTGGGCAGGGCTGCTCAGCACCCCCAGGGCCCCACTGTCCCAGGGGAGCCCCTGCCACGCTCGGGGGGACTGTGGGGAGCAGCTGCTTGCAGTAAATGCACTTACTGGTGGGTGGGTGCAGGGACCTTGCTCAGCAGCACCCGGGTGCTCTGGTGAGGTGCTGGGCAGGCTCATGGGGATGAAGCAACATAAAACCCCACCAAAGCCCTGTTCCGTACCTGGGCTGCACCTCTGGGCAGCGCTGCTGTCCTGTGTCTTGTTGTCGGCGAAGAGGGAGCTGCTGAAGGCCACCAAGCCCCGGCGGAGGTTGGGAGGCAGCGGCGTGTGCACAGCCATGGCAGCTGCGAGCCCTGCTCACCCTAGTGCGGCTCAGACGGGATTAGCTGGGAGCGGATTAATGGGACAGGTCGGGCTCATGCGTGGGGCCACTGGCTCCCAGGGCCAGTGCGGCATTCCCCTGGGACACCAAGCCCCTGGGGGAGCCAGAAGGACACAGTGTCTCCTCTCCATCACCATGGGTACCCACTACCCTGTCCCCAGCCCATGCTCCCTGCAGGCAGTGTCTGCTCTGCTGCACCCTCTCCAGCCAGGTTGTACGAAGTATCTGCTCAGAGCTCCCTGACAGATGACCTGCCGCAGGAGGGGATGATGCCCTTTGCCAGAAATGCTTCTTCAGAGCATCTCATCTCAATCTCCCCTCTGGCACGTTAAAGCCATTCCCCCTTGTCCTGCCCCTACAGGCCCTTGTCCCAAGCTACTCTCCAGCTCTCTGGTAGCCAAGTCCCATTGCCCCTTTCTACAGAGGAGCTGTTTCAGCCGGGCTGGGAACATCACCCCATGACATGAGAAACCCCAGTCACTGCCATGGCTTTCCTCAGGACATGTGCTGGATCATGGACAGGATCCCTTGTGGATCCCATGAATACGTAACGGTTCAAGAAGAAGCCCCTGTTGGTTGCTGAGTGCTGGAGCACACATGTCCCCTCTGGTCATACCACCTGGGAAAAAGCCTTGCAGTGAAACCAGAAGAGCCCAAGCACAGACGACTGGTGCCATTTCTACCCAGCAAAGAGCAGGAAGTCTGGAAGTAAATACAGCTGACCTGGACACAAGTGGGAAGTCTCCATAGACATGACTGCACCAACCGGCCAACCTGCAGGATGACCCAAGGCCTCGGAAGGAATCAGAGATGATCCAGATCCCAAGAATAGCACTGCTTTAATCCACAGGGGGGGATCCAATTAAAAATATAAATCATCTTGCTTTGGGCTTAGAGTAAAACACTGACTGCTAGGGAGACACCTGGGCAGAGCACCAAGGAGGGTTCTGGCTCTGCTGAGCTGGTTGGCACAGGGCTGTGTGCTAGCCGGGTCCACTCCAGAGCTGGAGATGAGGCTCTTCTTCCAGCAAGGGGCAGAGAACACGACAGCAGAGCACTGACGTGGGAAGCCAAGATGAGAAATGCAGCCTTGTTACAAGGCAGCAGAAGGGCAGGACGAACGAGTGATGAAGGCCAGAGGATCTCCCTCCAGCCACTTTTCATTGAGGAACACCTCATCAGCAGCACTGACCCTTCAGTCATCATTCAGGACAGACACCCCAGGGCTGAAGCACTGCCCCAGCCTGGGGGCGGCCGTCACCCCTCTGCAGGGAGACCCTGCTCCGCTCCGCACCCACCCAGCACCAATTGAGAGCCAGGAACAGCTCCAGCCCCTCAGCTGCAGCCACATGGGGACCCACCTCTGCCAGGGTCTGGATGGGGTGACCAGCCTGGGGAAGGGGTAATGCGAGACACCAGCATGGGCTGTAAAGAGACCCCTGGTGTGACCCCATCCCCTGCCCCTCCTCACGCTCCCTGAGCCGGGTGGGCATGGGGACAGCCATGGCAGTGCTGAGCTGGAGGGGGAGCGGATGTCAGGCTTTGCGGGGATGCACATTGGAGCTCTGTGGGAGCAAAGTGGGTTGGGGATGGGGCCACATGCTTGAAAGCACAGGGAGCAACAAAAGGCACTCACTGCTTACCCCTAGCCTGTTGTCAGCACCTGCAGCACCCGTGCCCACCACCAGCACCAAACCCCGCTCTCTCTGGGGGCTGCTTTTCCAGCATCCAATGGGAACTGCAACAGCAGAGCCCCAGCCCGGGAGGCAGCAGTGCAGAGGGATGATGAGTGTGCAGTGACCGGGGCCAGGCTCATCCGGCTCCGAAAAGGAAGTGACTCAGCCGCAATGTTCCCACTGGTCTGTGGAGCTGCCAGCCCATCTCCCCACGGCAAGCGCAGCACCAGGAGGGCAGAGCCACCAGTGGCGTTAGAAGCCCTTCCCTGTTAGCCAGGACATGTCTCCAGTTCTAAAAGAGAGAACAAACCAGCAGCGCTGTAAGATGCTTCCCAGCACGTGCAAGACTGGTCCCAATGTGCCTGGCACTGCCCTTGGCGCTGCACACCAGTCCCCATCAGCTGTGCCCCTTCCTTCGCCCTCACTCATATGTCGCTACAACTACCCAAATCCTCATGCACAGATCCTCAATTCCAGCTCAGCGCTCAAACAGTGGTATTTGGGCTTTTTTTTCACCAAAACCAAGCCCTTTCTGCATTCAGCTGGGAATTCCTGCAGAAGCCACGGGAGCAGCATCCCAGCCAAAAGGCAGCTGCAAAGGGGATGTGTCAGCCATCCCCACCGGCTCCAGCAACCCCCAGCCCCACCCCCAGCACACCCAAGACCCCAAACCAAACGTACTTGCCATGACGGACAAACAGCCTGAGAGGAGCGAAAGCAGCAGGAGACAGAGAGAAGACATTCAGGTTTAGGTGATCTGGCCTCCTCCAGGCTTGCTGAGCCCCACTGCAAGGGCCAGCCGGGCTGCCTGTGACATGCCACCTCCCTCCCTCTCAGCCAGCAACCACTTCCCGATGCACTGGGGGTGTTGGGCACGACACTGTCCGGTCACTGGTGGCTGGGTGGACCCTCAGCATGGTTCCAGGTGTGCACTGGTGGGTGCACTGAGCACCACTGTCCCATAGGGTCAGTGCAAGGATTTGGATCCTGGTGTTCAAGACAAATCCCCTGTGTGCCGGATGCGAGAGCTGGAGGCAGCTGGAGGGTGGGGGGGGCAAAATGGGCAGATGGAGTGAGCGGGGCAGGAAAGGAGATGCAAGAAGGTTACAGAGTGGGGAGCAGTGGGAAGAGCTGCCCAGTGCTGGTTGGGGTCCTGCCTCAGGTGCTGTCCTGGGTTCAGCTCCAGCAGTCATTTTTTCTCCTTCTTAGTAGCTGGT